AAATTCATTTTCCCCAAGTCAAGTCTGTTTTTCTGGTGATGATAGTTGCTGAGTGATCTCTCCCTGTCCTTCTGTCCCACGAGCCTTTGGTTATATTTTCTCTCCCCTGTCCAGCTGAGGAGGGGAGCGATACAGTGGCTTTGGTGGGCACCTGGCCTCCAGCCAGGGTCAACCCACCACAAGAACACTACCCTGAAATAAGTCTTTTTAAGGCACTTAATTTCTGTCATCTCAGGAGTCTGGGTTCAACAGAAGACATATCTTAGCTAATTCCTGCTCTTTTCCTCTTAGCCCAAGCAACGCACATAACAAAGAGCAGTTGGGAATGATCTTTTCCCTTAAATGCCACAGCCACAGAACAGAAGAACAACCTAATGTCTCGGGAGCTGCTCCGTGCAGGTGACCAGGAGTTAAGTCTCTACTCTGGTACACGCTGCCTGTGAGTTTGAGCAAGCACCTTCTCTTACAGGATGTGCTCTGATGGTAAATACTCTCAAAACTGTAAAGGGCTCAAATACCTCCAGAAGGAGGTGCTCCACAAATAGCTAAATAACCCGGTCTGTCTATCGCTGTCGGCTTAACTAGATGTGTTTATCTCTTATTTTTTCTTTTTTGAGATGTTTTACACTAGTCCAGTGGAATGGGCTTTTGACCATCCTGGTCACTTCAAGGCACCAGCAGCCACTGTATGCCAGCGCTTTCCAATCGCTATTCCAACAGTCACCAGATCCACCCACCTGACAAATGCCCTTACTCTTCAGTGCCTTAATCAATCCCAGGTTCTTCCAACTCTGCATATAAAAAGCCACTTTTTGCTTGTACCAAAGCAGTTCTGTTTAATACTCAAAACACCACTGTTTGAACAATTTTTTAGCATGATTTGTCATAAGCATCTGTCTTGGTATTAAAACTTCATGGAATTTTCAGACTTCTACACCTCTTATTTCAACATGAACAGATGTAGATGATTCTATGTACGACATACATAATGTGACTGAATTTGCTCAAGTAAGGGGGAACTAACAGAGAAAAAATATTTCCTGTGTAACTATCCTTTTAGTTCTGTAAAGCACTGATTGGAAAAGCAGTTCACCAAGTACAACTCGTGTAACGGGACGGTGGTTTCTTCTTCTTTCAAGTCAACAGGGAGCTTTTTTCACGTTTGCCTTGCATGTTCCAAGGCAAGGATGGAGAGCTGTCGTGGAACCGTCCTGCAGCTGCTGGGCTTTTGTGACCGATGATTTCTGATTTGTGGCAATCGCTTTTTGAGCCCTGACGTTTCTTCGTGTACCTCTTCATATAACGTTTTATGGAGTATTTGAAAATGAGATAACTCAGTTCACTTAGATTTAATACAATGTACAGGCATGAAGTTGCCACCAGAAAATAGAGGAAAATCATCTTCTCTGTGGGTTTGGAAATATAGCAGTCTACAGTATTGGGACACGGCCTTATGTCACATTTCACAAGACGTGGTACTTTGAATCCATTGTACAATTTATAAAACAGAACAAGAAAGACTATTTCAAATCCTGTTTTTAAAACAAGGCTGATAAGATAAGTGCACAGCAATCCACCATCTATCTCTCCTGGACTTTTATAAAGTTTCTGGTTGTGGCGTTTCTCTCTGTTCTCTCTGTAAGCAACATGAAAAACAACCAAGAGTGAAGGGGTGGAGACCATGATTAATTGCAAAGCCCAAAGTCTGATGTGGGAGACAGGGAAAAAATGGTCAAAGCAAACATTTTCACAACCAGGCTGCCTGATATTGCATTCAAATTCATCATGTTCATATTTCCAGATGTTTTCTGCAGCTGCAATGTAAACCAGTAAGCGGAATAGGAATACAACTGCTACCCAAATTCTTCCAATTGCTGTTGAATATTTATTCACTCCACTCAGCAGATCACGTAGGAATCCCCAGCTCATTTTTCTCCTCAAGGAAGGAAGAAAATGCTGTAGCAAAAAAACACAAAATCAGAGATATGCTTTTTCGTGGGTGAAATGAGAGGTTCATTCAAGGTGAAATATAACGAGTAGCTGAAGCAATTTAAAATGATTAAGCATTTAAAAAGGAAAACAACAACAAATTGCTTTTAGCTCTGATAATTTCTACTTTCTGAGGCTACTATACAAAATTTATTTGCTGTTAAAGTAGGTTTTGTCAATTAGGCTGAAACCTAATCATTCTGCTAAACTGTCCTCTGCAAGTAAATGTGCTTGTTCTTCCCAAGGATCTCCTGAGCATCAGGTAGAGCTTCCTCCATCGAGTTCAGGCCAGCACTCTACCACCAAGGTACACTCAACTTAGCACTGTCGGTTATGCAAATACTAAGTACAGTCAAATCAGATTTCACTTTCAAATTTATGTATAGGAGCCAACTGTTCCATAATTAGTTGACTACCAAAATGCAAATTGATTTCTTTTTGTTTGTTGTCTCACTTCCCAGTAAACTTGTACAATGTTTTAAATCCTGTCCTGCTTCACTGGATTTTATTTGTTGTGTTATTTATCATTTAAGAAATGCACTGAACTTTACTCCAAAAATGCTTTTATTTTATAGGGTTTTTTCCGCACAAGTCTGCCCCGTCCTAGCTCTGAAATGCTTCTTTTGGAAGAGCTGCCTAAGGAGCCATTGGCAGCCACGCTCTCCTCAATGTCAAAAGAAGACCTAAGATAACCACCAAGACCAAGCACACAGCCACCTTCCCACCTGGCCCCACCCCTGAGGTCTGCATGGCTCCTGGGGGATACCAAGCTCCTTTGTTTTGTAAGAGCAAAAAGTAGATATATTCCCAGGAGACAGAATGCCTGGGAGACATGAGGAGGGAAATGTGAGAAGTTTCCAGATCTGTGCGTTCTACCTTTTCATGTCCTCATCCCATCTACTGCTCCTGCAAGCTCTGCCTAGCAGGAGAGAAAACGTGCTCCTCTGCGGCTGCAGTAGCACGTGCAAATCCCACTGCCACTGCCGTAGCTGCAGTTAGCGCTGAGCAAGTTCATCAACTGGCAAGTTTGAGCAGAAGTAGTAATCAGGCCACAGCACCACAAAGCTCAACGCAGATGGAAAGCTCAGTACTTCTTTTGCTGTCACTTGGTTCTGCAGCCCATCATGACCTCTGCCTATGGCCAGACTTCTGCTGGAAAAGAAGGTTATTTGCCTATTTGGGTATTCCTACACTGCTACCATTAGAGCTGGTGAACTGGTGAACTACCTGAGGAGCCGAGGGACAGCTGCAGAAATTAATATATTGCTGATTTGTACTGGGAAGGATGTTGAAAAAAAGATGTTCTCATGAAGAATTGCTACCAAGCTACTCCTTTATGCTGCAGATAAAACAGAGTAACAGGCATATCAATTGGCTTATAGCCTATCAGGCATATGCTTATATGCTTTTAAATATATGTGGCAGGGTGATGACTTTGTCATTAAAGAGCTATTTCTGTCCTCCATGGCTGCAATTAGAGCTCAAGCAGAAGTTTAAATCAAGTTCTTCAAGACATCAGCACTAGGGCTTTAATGCTTTCTAAGTAATACACAGTAAATACATCAGCCTCAAAGGAGCCGAATAGCAACGGATGAAGACACTGCTATGGAATAAAGCACAAAAACATTCACATGAGTGAACATGAATATTAACATGTCTGAGTGCATCTTCTGGATGAGCTGGCCTCTGCAGCAGATTTGAAGGAAAACCTCCAAAGCCTTTCCTAGGATTTTTAGATGTGCACAAGCACTACAGAAGGGAAGACTGAATTTTGTTATTCCATGAAAAACGAGTATGGCTGTGAGTGGGCTTTCGCTAATGGTCATAAGAACTGCACCACCACTTTTTAATGTAAAAAGCCTCATGTCACCTATCAGTCTGTGACTGGAGTTACACCAGTTCTGAGCCTCCAGCTGTGCAAGTTGGGACAGAAAGAAAAAATATGTTGGGTCACCAGCAAGGCACTAAAATCAGTGGGAACCCGCACTGGTGGAAATCAGGCCATGGAGATACCTAAAAATAGATTGAGAAATTTACCCTGAGGTCTTTTTTCCCAAAGCTGAGCTGCTACTTCCTTACCTGAGCAGCAAGAGGGATTACAAAAGAACAACTTTATACCTGCTTTTGCCAATCCCATGTTGAGGAGAAGGACATGAAGGGGAAAAGAAAGTCCTGCCCAAAGAAAATGGGGATCCAGGATTTGACTAAAATATCCAGCAGAGATTTTAGAAATTCTAGCCAGACAGAAGATCAGACAGATGACATTTCTGAAAGGTATTTTGAAAGACAGCAACACATTCTGGTACCTAGAAGTCTGGCAGCGAGGCAGCAGGGATTTCACAGGACTAAAGATGGCTCCTGGTCTATGTGCTGTGTTGATGAGAAATTGAAATTTATTAAAGGACCACAGGGCACGTCCTGTGGGCAGCGGTGCTTCTGCATGCAGAGCTTTGGTTCCACTTGCAGCCTCCGCTTGATGTTGAGAAATGGTTGTACAGGACAACCTTCAACCACAAGCCTAAAGGGCCACAGAGCCTGTTTCATGGTATTGTGTGGACTCCAGGTGCCCACCAAAGGCACCGTATCACTCCCCTCCTCAGCTGGACAGGGGAG